TTTTCACTAGCCTATCAAGCCTAATCTAGGATGACCAGATGTCCCTGGAAATGTTTTTAACTGTGTGTTAATCATCCTTCCGCTGTTGTTAACAGACCTGTAATCAGATTTTACGTGGCCAGAAAGACTGGACAGCAGAGCATCCAGGTGTTGTGCCTAAAAGTGATCGTCCTTCAAAAACTGATGTAAAAGCTGTATTGCCCAATCTCTTTACGTCTACAGCTGCTTTTATCTGGATCAAACACACATAACGTTCAAACAAACATCACTTTGTACCGTGGTAATAGTAAAGGTATTTATTTGTGATACTTTAAAGAAGTGGTATTATGCTTTTTGGCTTTTTCCCTCTCCTTTATTGAGTATATACCTTTTTTGTGCTTGTAATAGGTTTGCAAAGTGAAAACGCCCAAAGTCCACCACAAAGGGAAAGCCTACCTCCCACAGAAAACTCTGCTCTGAACTGCTTGAAAACAGCTTGTTTGTAGTCCAACCGCTTAGCTAAATGCGATTACGCTAAAGGCGTTACTGCTAAAGTTAGCCCGTGAATTTTATAATGCATTTATGCATACATGCTATGTACCCTACATATTGTACATATGTGTAAAAAAAATTATTTATGAACGAGGGAGGGGATCCAACTGAAGCCCGGGAGAAAGAGCAGCCAGGAAACAAGGAGAGGAGGGAGTGAGAACAAAAAGAAAGAGAAATAAATGTGGAAAGAGAACAAGATGAAGTTGAGTCTGAGGAACTAACAACCAGTGCTGATGGAGGATGTTGCCAACAATGTTGAAGAACTCAGTGACAGTGATATGCAAAGAGGAAGAAAAAGGAAAATACATACTGAAAAATGGAAAATAAATCAAAAAGACTGAGAAGTTTAAATTATGGTTGTGTGTTTATGCGTGCTTTACTTTGTTTTAATTTGTAAGTTTTGCTTCCTGTTGCCATTTTCCTTGATTGTTTCCACCTGTGACTTTTTATTCACCTCCCTCACCCTGTTTTATTGATTGTCCTACGGCATTTTGGATTTACTTTTGGACTTTGTTCTCTTTAGTTATTCTTGTTCTTTGGATTGTTATTCCCTGGCCTGCCTCCCTCAGTATTATTGTGTAAGTTCTTTTCATTTGGTTCATTAAACACTACTAACTGCACCTGCTCTGCCTAAGGGTCTGCATTTGGGCCAAATCCTTTGTTTCTGTGTCTGCATTTAACAAACCCCAAGTTTAGGCCACAGTTATGTTAACACAGGGCTGCCACATGCTTTTACGCCAAAAGGCCATGTTCTCATGCAGTGAAAAAAAAAATGAAAACATTCACAATTGATAATTGATTGATTGATTACTTAGCTAACTTAGTTGTGTGTTGGACAGAGAGGACCCAAACGCAACGCTCAGACTAAACAGGTCGTATTAGGGAAAAAGGGGTTGAGGGATTGGAGGTGAGGGAGAGGTGGCCGCCGGGGAACACGGGCACAGACCAAGGAGCAAGTAGGGCAGAGGGGGCTAAGACAAAGGAGCCATGGGGCACCGGGCACCGAGGAAGGGAGGAGGCACGCAAGACCTCACCGGGGGGTTGGTGGAGGAGTGTGGTGGAAGGCTGACTGGCGAGGCACGAGGGAGAGCCGGGGGGACGCCGTGGAGGAAGCCCGAGGGGAGAGGGCAGGTAGGCGAGCCCAGCTGACGCGGTGGTGGACGGAGGTGAGTGAACCTGGGAAGGGCAGACAGAGAGACAGGGTTAATGACTGGGAGACAGAAAACAGGGAAACAGAGATTTTGCGGGATCAAAAGCTTGAGTCAAGCAGTGGCACCAGGTCAGGAGCAATGACGATCAAGCAGAGGTTGCGTGGAGAACCGGGGTTGATATACTGGGAGCGATGGAGTTGATCGCTGGCAGTTGTGGCAGGAAGAGGAGGCTACTGATGAGGTGCAGGTGGGCTCAGGAGCGGAGAGAGAGAGAGGGAGAACACAAGCAAGGGGAGCAGAGGAGACACAGAGAGGGAGGCAAAACACAGGGGCAAACCATAGACAGTATATTACTGGACGAATGGAGAGCAGTGAAGCCTGTTTTGGACCAATAAAATACTACTGCAGGGCTACTTCCTGTTGGCACCAGTGTCTACTGCGCATGATCACGCAGCATAAGCGTGGTTTAATGACATAGAGCAACGGCAGAAACACCGTAATTCTGGTAGCTGCATAGCTGCACAAACAAAAAGTTTCTTGGCTCAGTGTGTTTGTCTGACTTGGATCGTCACTGTTTAATCAGCGCACCTCCGAGGCTCACCTGCCAAACACCACCACCTGATGGCCAAATAGTTGTTTTAGATTCACTGAGAGTTTATAATCTAAGCAATACGGTTACATATCTCATGTGCGATGGAATGTCACAGGGTTTTAACGTCATTTTTGGCCTACATGGAACCGTCCATGCAGGCTTTGGTCGGCTTCACTGTTTCGACAGAATGCAGGAAAAAATGAGAAACAAACAGGACACTCACCATCAGCCGGGCTGCCACCACAACAGAACTGACTGCGTTTGCCAGTGTACTATGACTACTCACATTGCACATAAATGCAAGTATGAGGCCTTTGGATTCACAAGGTTAATAACTTTACAGCCATACCCAATTAATGCAGTTCCTACTGTTTGGGACCACATTATTTAGAAATGTTAGAGGAGTTATGGAAATCACATCTCTATACAAACGGCGTAGTCTTTGCCCTAAAATACATGGTTTCAACTGGACACACGTACCATCTCCAATTCTGATGAGAGGCGTGTTGAGGAGAGCATCTCACTTCTTCTCTAATCAGTCACTAATTAAGGTATATATCTATACTCCTTTTCTGGTAGAATGATTAAACTAAGCATGATAGCCTTAATCATAATGTGTTGCATTTAAGTAGAATTTGATAAAAGATTATATTTGACATTAAAATCAAATGGATTTTTTATTTTCTTAGGGAGGACTCCCAAGGGAGCCGCGCCGACCCTGACCCCTGCCGTGGGTAATGTGAGATAGCTTCTGTTATGACTTGGTGCTTTATAAACAAAATTGTATTCATTTGAATTGAAGTAAGAGTCACTTCTTCCAATACCGAATCTCACTCCAAACTAAATTGAAAAGTTGGCAGCCCTGTGTTAGCACATTTAATGCCTGTTTGCCTGCACAAAAGGTAAAGGAGAAGAGCTGTCGGTACAAATGCAATACAAATGCAGATAGGTTGAAAATATCTGAACATTTTTGGTCAATGGGAGATTCAGCCAGGCAAGAACTAAAGGAAACTGTGTTGAGAATTTCTTCTGAGAGCACAATTTGGTAACACATCAAGTCATTCCGAGCAACTGAATCCCATTACTGCACAAAGGACACAAGGAAGCTCTATTTAAAGGGGAACTATTAAAAAAAATTGTATACAGAGATAGGCAACAAAGATTGGAAAATCAACCCGCAAAAACAAAGCATGTACAGAAGGGTGTTTCACATTGAGTTTAACCTTAATTTCTACATGACCAAACAAAAATGACCACCATGAGGTATCAACAATTTGAATAGATTAAAAATGAAGACCACCAAGCACAAAAATTGCTTGCCAGACAGCATAAAGAAACTCGAGCAAATTGAGCACATACAGTCTAACACTAAATGACACTAAATACGCAGAATGTGGTGTGAGAGGGAAAGTAGTGGTTGTGCATCATCCAGCACACACTAGTGAGAGTGGCAAGAAGAGATAAGCCATAGAGTGTTCACGAGCTGGGACTTCATGTAGTCACTTTCAAGTCAGATCATCAAAGGCAAAGGGAAAGATGAAGACGGAGAACTTGTTTGCTGGCATAAGATCAATTGGTTTTGCTATGTAAAAGAGGCCCTCAAGACAGTTTACTTCAAGTATGGGCTCTCTGACCAGTCTTTAAGAAAGATGCAGGTGGCACAAAGAGTAGCCAGAGGCAAGCTATATGTCAAAACCCCTCAGCAGATGTACGAGTCCTCCAGGAGTCAGCGCACAGAAAAGGCAAGACTTGCTGACACAAAGAAAAGCACGCCACAGTGTGATGAGGACTTTTATAGCTACTTGAATGTGTCAAAAGAACACAGTCCTAGGACACAGCAATAAATGATAAGGACAATCCAAAACATTTATTTATATATATATATATATATACAAGCAGAAGCATTTAACAAAAAAACAAACTATACCAGTTGTTTTGATAAGTTACATAGCCTAGATTTCTTTTTTGTTGAAAGCTGCTGAGCATTACTTCAAGATAAATCCATATCTTATCTTTTTTTCAGTGTTGATTGAAGTGCAATTGATGCACTTTAATTAAAATAAATATGTTTACAATTGTTTACTTACATCTGACCACATGTAATGATAGCCAGCTAGGCTGTGTAGTGAGTAAACCTTCAATGCTAGCGGCCATGGGCTTTAGTCTCCTTTGTTAGCGTGTTTGCCTCCCATACTTGAGGTGAGTAGTACAATCTCAGGGAGAATCCTCACGCATGTTCTGCATTAGTCTATCAGGAAAAGGTTTGTGATTAAAAGGTGCATATAACCCTTCTCCCAACTTTAAAACGTGTAAACGTGAGGCGCAGAGGGAGAGATGTGAGGAAGATACCGCATGAGGTGGAAGCAACAGGTGTATGCCTCTTTTCTGAAAACAGCAGGGAGTTATGTTATTGCAGCTTGAGGTAGACTTTGGAAATCCCTGGTGACCAACTGAACTACAGGTGTGAAAGCAACCAAAGGGGCTGAGCCCAAACCGATATCAGATCCTGTGATCATATTGTGTAATTAGATTATGCTAACCCCCCCAAAAAAACTCTCAGTACACCAGCGTTACAATCATACAAATATATTAGTTTGTTTTATTCAATTATATCCAATAATACATCTCCCTTGATTTTGTGTAAGTTATTATAGAAATAAATACAGATCATATTGCAAATGCAGAGACAAGAGTTTGGGATAATAGAGTGTTGTGGGGGGGGGGTTAAGGGGTTAAAGAGTAAATATTGGGTAAAGACTGTTTCTTTGAAGGTGTCCAGTAAATGATTGGCGCATGCATGCTTGTAGTCCCGCCTGTCTGTGATCCTCTACCTCAACCCAGGAGTTTCAAACTACAAGTCCCTTGCCTCTCTGTAGTCCTTTTTCTCCAAGTGATCCATGGGTTTGGATGGCGTGTAGTAGTTGTGTTGTTCCACCATGCCAGCAACAGGGGGAGTTATTGCACCCGAACCACATTTGCATGGATATATTTATATATAGAGATATATAGATATATTTTTTGCCCCATTTGTATACAAAAATAATGTCATTGTGGCTTTGATAGCTGGAAGACTGAAGCACTCTTTTTGCATTTGGAAGACAACAAGGAAAGTAAGATTATGGTGATTTCCTTAAAATCTTTTCCGGAAGACTTTGTCACAATAACTTGGATCGTCCATGCAGTACAAAGAGGAGCAAAAAATAAAAGAATCAAACGTTCAAAAAATCCTTCAGTGGTCGATCACAGAATCACACGCACACAGGTGGAAGATGTGTGTGTGTGTGTGTATGTGTGTTTGAGGGAGAGACAGACGGTGAATGAGCAGTCGGCGAGCCAATTAAATCTCCGTTAACAGATCGAAGGTCAGAGGTCAGTCAGTCGGACTTTGATTGACATGTGAGTGCTGGAGGATTGTGGGAGATCAGGAGGAAGAGGTTTGAGACCCCACAGTCTTGACATAAATAGTTTTCCTCTCTTTATAGACTGAGCTCCATTGTTCAATATCCCACGTATGTGATGGGATAAAAGACACAGATATACATTTAAATGGCAAAATAAACACGTTGAATCAACAAACACGCATGGACAAATCAACAAAGATTCATTAAAAGGGCATTCAAATGGAAACCAATACTCAGAATCAGAAACTCACAGTACTTACACTGAGAAATAGTCAAAACACAATCCATACTCTTTTTTTAAAAGAAAACACTTGAAAAGGTGGGTAATAAAGACATTTTAGTATAGAGTACAGTGTAAAGTCACCACTAAAACATTGTCGGTGCATTAACTTGTGAGAGGTGAAGTCCCTCCATGATCTGTTGTAAAGGTCACCCCATTTAGCCACATCTGCGCTGGCTTGGTGCAGGGTGCTGTGTGAGCAATGCAGATGTGTCCAGGGACTGTGGGTGTGTGCTTTTGAAAACACAGCCTGATTTTTCTATTTTTTAAGTTAATATGTTGGTTACTACTATCCAGCACGTGACATTAGGTGCTCGGTCCGCCGATTCCGACATAAAAGCACTTTTTTACAAAGCAGCTAAAGAAAAAAAAAAACAAGAGGCAGAGAGAGAAAATCTGTCCGAGCACGGCGTCACTCTTTTTGTCACGTGAGCCGCTCTCTTCCTCCCTCTCTTTTTTGTGTTTTCTGCTGCATTGCAGATGTGGTGAAGGGACTCCACCTCAAAGTAACGCACATACACAGCAACCAAGCTCACAAAAAGGGCAAAGTCTTAGAAAAATAAAAGCTCTAAAAAAACACACATAATTCGTTTCTATATCAATATTAATCCTGTTTTTTGTTTTCCAGACCCTCCTAGATAATGTGGCTGCACCTTGTTAATGGAGTTTATTGCTTTCTGCCCAAGGACTCGTGCTCATTGATTTGGCCTCTGATTTATCATCTATTTTTCTCTCTGCCTGATACTTTATTCCCTCTTCTTCTTGGATACACATAATGGACATACAGAGATAATCACAACAATCACAGTTACACAACGATTACGCACAAGGACCAAAGCTGATGAATGAGATCTAGAAAAAGCACACACACACACACACATACTGCCTCCAGGTTAAAGGGATGTTGTGTTTGCAAAAAGGATTAGAGAGAGGAAGTGGAACTTCAAAGGGAGACTGTGAGTACACTACAGTATGTGACACATGTCTCTCTCTCTCTCTCTCTCTCTCTCTCTCTCTCTCTAGCTGAGTCCTTCACAACCCCGGATGACCCTCTCTGCAGTTGTAATTCGCTCAGTAAGCAGGGAGGGCCCTGACTCGGAAGAAATGGGAGGGAAGGGAGTCCCCAGGGAGAGAAGTGTGCGTGTGTGATGTGTGAAGTGTGCCGCTGAATCAGATATACATCATTTAACCCCCTTCGATATCCACACACACACACACCTCCCAACTTTTTTTTTTTACTCCAAAGACATGGTGATGCCAAGCCCTCCAAATGGCCAATATTTAACATTTAGAGCTGAATCCAGAGATTTATCAGCTAGTTACAGGCGATGTATTCAGCCATGGGACGGTTTCACTAATCAAACATGTGTTCAGATAGACAGCGGGCGAGATAAATGGCAATCTTCACATCCGGTAATTCACACAGAATCGCTTGAAGTGAAGCCTGAAGGCCGCAGAGCACACTGGCTGGATTAGAGAAGTTGATTTCAGGCTTCACAAAAGACTAACAGCAGAGAAAAATGGGAGAGTAAGAACACCGCAAAGCACGCAAACGAGTCTGTGATACACACACATACACACACACACACTCATGCAATCATGCGAACTGTCTGGGAAGGTAGAATTATATTTTTTTAATTCTACCTTTCTGCAAAGTGAAAACAATAACGCTGCAAACAGAGTGGGATACACATTTTCAAGCTTCCTCTTTTAAAAACTTTATCTCTATCTCCTTACCCAAATATATTGTTCAGAAGTACTCGAATAACAGGTAACATCTAATAGGATTAATCTGATTACAAAAGATAATATCTGTTACAGTTTCTGCCAACGAATTACAGTAATTAGATTACAGAAAAAATAAGAGATTCAAAAACAGCATGGGCACAAACATAAAATGTTCCTGTCTGATGGATAGTTAATCCTGGTTGACCAGCATGGGGATGACTGTTGCAATAAGTCAGTTCGCAAACTGGAATAAAAAAGCTAATCTATCAGCATTTTCTACAGTGGCACAATGAACAGATGATGCATAGTTGCATACTAATGGCCGATGCAACTATAAGTGGCTGATGGATCATTTGTACTGTTCACTCATAGTGTGTTAACTGAGATACGAATCCATCACTAGATGTCAGTGTTGACTGACGCTCAGTCATGAGATCTGATGGCTTGGTTTAATAGACTCTTGATTCTTGTGGCTAAAGTTTAAAGTCACTTAAACACAGAGTTTGAGGCAGGAAATGAGATGATTGTAGACCTACACGTACCACAAACAAATGAAGTCTATATGCGTGTCCTCTTATCTAGAAATGCCACCTCGTGTGCGATCATTTTTTTCATCTGTACAAGCATACGCACCAACAGAAAATAATTTAAAATACTTTTTAGCTTTAAAGGGACTACCAAGCAATTTAGTATTCCACTTCCACAAAGTTTGGGGACTTAAAAAAGAATAGTGAAAGTTATAGCAGCGGAGGGCCGACATTTCCCACTAAGCAACCCATCTTTCATTAGACCCTCCATGCCCCCTAAATGCTCACTTATTTGAATCCCCATACCTGTTAAAACATTTGAGCTCAATCCAAACTTGATGGCAAGGCGAATTTTAGATGCATGATGCAAGATAAAAATGTTTCTACTTAAGCACAAAAAGGAAAATAAAGGAGAGAGACTGGAGGTAAATCACAGAAAATAACAGGCACGCACTTACTGCAGACGCGGTCGGTTGCTAGCTAGCTTACAGCTAACATAAGTATAGCCAGTACAGTAACAGTCCAGTGGTAAAATTTGTGCAAGTAACGTGAAAGGCGAAAATTTGCTTCACTTTCTGTCTGAGCACACCTGTACAAAGCTCATTCCGGAGCCACAGAAGAAATTTTACAACTGTTGTAAAGTGACTTTCATGTGTAAAATCAGTGGATGTTACATATCTCTTATCTGAACTTTATCTAAATTACATAATTACATTAATTACATCATTATTTTCACAGTCCACATTAATAGCTTGAACTAAAATTTTAGCCCTTAACTCTCCTTCACAGCTCTTTCTTTCTATTCAGACTCGAATTCTGAAAACAACAAATATGGCGCATACTTGAGAAAATATTGCAACAAAGATTTCACAGCCCTTAAAGTAAATATCACAGAAGTCATGGCTATGTCTGCTTGCTGAATTCCTCTTTTCCTCCCATCTCACAGGATCTCTCTATCTTGTCCCAGACAGTCTTCATTCTATTCTAGCAGGCAGGAGCCTCACTTAATTAAATATTTGTGTAATTACTTTGCGAATAGTACTCAAACATTTGGTTCTGGATTTAAAGATCCATGGGGGTGAATGGTCATACACAACAACCTGAGGGTCTATTTAACAATTTAATTAAGGTCTTTAGTGTGTAATTGAGGTTTTAACTGTAGCTTGTGTTGAATAATAAATAAAAATAATGGGTTGCAATTCACTGAACTGTAACTTTCTTTTCTTTCCTCACAAGTCCTTCATTTTAATTTATTTGTTGAAGTGTCTTTCTTTCTACTTTTGATCCATCCTTACTTCCTTTCACCTATCTTTCCCTTCAAACAACCTCTTTTCATTCTTCTCAACTGCTGTCTTTCTCTCTTCAGAAAAGCACAGGTGAAGTTTGCTTCATCTCTCAGTTGGCAGATCACTTTGCTTCAAAGCTCGCCTCTTTTCTTCACTGGTTATCAGCTATTATTATTTACAACCACAGGTTACAGGGGAGCAGAGGATTATGCATTAAATGAGAAGTGTGTGCAAATGTGCGTGTGTGTGTGTGTGTGTGTGTGTGCGTGCGTGTTCAGGGAACACTCCACATTACTGCAGTTCTCTCATAAAACTCTTTTTCTTTTGCTCATCACCACAAATTATTAAACATCTTTGGTGCGTATGTCTCTCTGAGCCCTGATCATAGCCTCTGCCTCCTGAACACACAGCACCCCACGCTTCCCACAATACATCAACATTAGGCAGAAACAATTACCCTGCATGGCATATTGTACCAACAAAGTTTCGTATTAAAAATGATTGCTTTTCGTGTTGAATGGGAAGAACAAATTGAAACACATAAAAACAAGAATAGTGAAATATTATCAAAAAAATAGTTCCATTTACCAGGAGAGTCCATCAGAGAAACACAAAAATGTCAAATCAAATAAATCACAGTAAATATCTATCTTTCCATCTCCTTTTTTAGAATCATCATCCTTTTGATGTGCTATAGCCAGGACAGTTTCTTGCTATATGCGGACCATGCCCCCGAAGCCACCAGGGAGGCCCTTAAGCTACCATTTTAGCCTCTTTATTGATTTTTTAAATTGTGTTTTAATTAAAATGACCGGGTGTAGCCAAGCACCCTCATGTGTTGAGTGAACCCTAACCCTAAATATCCAAAAATCTATAAACGTTATTATTAAGATGCTGTGATGGATAGGGGAGCTGTGTCTGTGTCAACAAAGTCATCATAAGACCATCACTCAATGATTGAGGTCCTATTGTTGACCAATGTATATTGTATTTCACCTATTAGTTAGCCAATGTGCCTTTGCTGCTGTGCACACAGCTAGGCTAACAAGTAGGTTGGGGATGGAGGGGTCTAACTAAAATAAGGTCCACTAGAGCAATGCTAGCTGGGTCCTGTCCAAGCATTAGTATATTTTTAAATAGTTGCCACATTGTCTAATTTTAGGGGTTTGGGGTTAGTGTGGGGAGGGGGAGTAGCTGGGGAAATCTCCAGAATCCTTTAATGCAGTATAGTCAAATAATTCTTCTCACTTTGAGTTTGTGGCTTGTGGATTGCAGTGTTTGGGCTGTGTGTGTTGACAGATAATGATAAATTGCAGCGCCTCCAGTAGAGAGTGATAGCAAGCCGTGTTCAAATGGTGTGCCTTAAGCTACAAGTCTGTAATGTAACGTATGTGGTATTACAATATGAATAATACTTGTTGATAAATTGTGTTGATTAACTTAAGAAACTTTGTCAGTCTGAAATAGTTTGGCCAGCCCAAACAGAGCCAGAGGGGAAACCAAGTCCATCTTCACTACCTACTGACAGACAAGCACTAAGTCTATCTTCAGCAACTGCGGACTCACGAGCGCCACACCCTTCTTTTGTTCAACCAATTGATTCAGGTGATTGTCCCTCAGTTCTGTCAGAATCAGTCAAGACAGGCAGCTTCCATCAACATTGTCTATAGAGGAAATTAGTTAATTGGGAAAAGATAACGCGGATCTGGCTTACGTACTCGTGAAAAAATGATGGACACACAACCCGCATGGAAACACAGAAGGATTTGGAACTGCGCCTACAAACAGGCAGAGAGATGTCCTTACCCGCTTGATCTCTATCACACAATCTCTAGCGGAAAAAAATCTTGCATGGAGGGTGTCTGCAAACACGTTACACCAGCAACACAATGGAAATTTCTTAGGAGATGCTTTCCAAATTTGATGCTGTCATGAAGCAGCACATTGATCGTGCGGAGAGTGGGCAGTTCAGTCATTCCAGCTACTTTGGAAATGTGATCCAAATAGAGGTGATTGCTTCAATCACCTCTCAGAGTGGACGTAGCATGCAAATCAAGCAACACTTTCTAGGATTACTTGTGGTTTTCCGAACAACAGTTCTTGGTTTCTCATCTTTGATTCTGAACAGGGTTGAGTAGCTAAACATTCCTTTTGACAAATACAGAGGACAGTCGCACGACAATGGGGCCAATATAAAGGGGAAGAACAAACGTGTTCAAGCAAGACTGCTGGAGAAAAAATCCTTGCTCAGTTAATGTTCCATGCGGGGCGCATACATTGAATTTTATGGTGGCTGATACAGCAAAAGGGTCTGCAGATACCATCAGCAGCACCACAACAATGGGCAATCTTAAACGACCATATGACTTTGACACTGAAATCCTGGAGAGCAATGAGGCGGTAGAGCTGTGTCAACAGCTCCACAGCATCGACGCTGTGTGGTACCAGGCCCATAACAGAAGGGAGGCACTGTTGGAGGTCAAGCCACAGATACCCTGACCAAGGTTGAAGCACAAGCTTTGGCAGAATAGTTTCAGTCATAACCTTTTCCATATGTGCACAGTGGTATGGTATGATATCCTAAACCAAGTAAACCATGTGAGCAAGATCCTGCGGTCTGAAGGCCTCTTAATGAACAGTCTCGCTGACAAGATACAGAGACACTGGCTTTGCCGCTCCTCTGCTAAACACAAAAGTGAGGAGATGAATATGTAGGCTGTACTTAAAGAAGATTAGACACGCAAGGAAACACCATGAAGCCCCAGACAAGCCTGTCCGAGATGCCATGAAGAGACTACTACTACACCACTGAGTCATTAAAGGAAAGGTGTGAAACACTGGGTGACTTGCGAGCCAGATTTGGAGTGCTGCTTGACTTTTGACTTGGATGGTGAGGCATTTTCCAACCAGTGTGACGAGCTCTGCAGCACAGTAAGAATTGGAAATAAAGATGGCATTGTTGGTAAGGAGCTGGCTCTAGAAATGATTAATTTCCCAAGTCTTTGGATGAGCTGACTCCACTGGACCTCACAAGAAACAGACCGAAAATTTTCATGAAGAGGGCTTATTGTTACATGTTTATAGTTCCACATTAACGGCAAATATATATTATTGGTATGCTATGTGTTTTTATCATTTGCACTTTTATATGGATGCTATGACCCCCCCCCCCATAGTTTAACAAAAGAGGGTCCTCCAAACAACTTCTTGCATAGGGCCCCCGAAAAGCTAGAAACAGCCCTGGCCACAGCTATCTATTTAATTATTTATGACTTTGGTTATTTTCCCACCTCACAAAACAGTCACATTAATCATAATATATTAAGTTTCAATCGTTATAGTACATATATAAGACATTGAACTGACAAGTAAAAAAGGCCTGAATTCCTTTGCATCATAACCAAAGTGTCCAGGATATATTTATGGTAATTCATCTGAACAAGTTTAGAAAAAGATTAACAAAAAAAAGTTGGGGGAATTTCAAGAGACATATTTAAAAAAGGACGGTCAAAATCCATGCAGCAGACGTCAAGATACTGTGACTTTTACTCCCTAGTATGGGTCAAGCTTAAAAAAAATACTGGATCTTACACTCCCTATAGCAGTTTGATGGCATATTTCATTGGACACTGCCTGGTAAATACCCACATCTCTCTAACTCCACACTAGAGTTCTGTCTCCCAAGCCTGGAAATTTAGCTTTCTTCAGTCCTAACCCTGCGTTACTCAAGTGCTGTCAATTGAGTCATTTTCTCTCCTCTCTCCACGGAAAAACAACTGTAGGCTGAGAAGTATTTCCCATGACTTGTGAAATGTGTGGAGTGCCCCTTTAAAAACTGTAAAATGTTTCTTGCATGGGGACAGTGATGGGGTGTCATGGAATCTAAAGAAATTGTTATATATTTTTTAAAATTCATCAGAATTTGCACAATAGGGATGTAAAAATAAACATATTTCTGTTTTTTAGACAAGAATACCACATTGAGTGAAAGAGGGTCCACAGATACTGTGTGGGCCTTGTGGGTTTGTGCAATGCATGGCCAGCCACAGTGAAAAAAACCAATTACAGTGCCAAGCTACACAGTCAGGCTCCATCAGTACCCCATCACACTGATGATATCCTCATCATCTCCCACAACCTGCATTCACACTCGCCACCATGTCGGCGTGTGTGTGCATTTGTGAGTGCGTGTGTTAAGTATGTTAAGTCGTGACATAATTTTCTGTGGTCGTTGCTCATAGATATCAGGGCGCTAAAGTGTGTGCACAACACATACACCTTTGCGCGTGTGTATGTAAATGTCAGTGTAATAATGAGTGTGTGTGTGTGTGTGTGTGTGTGTGTGTGTGTGTGTGCGGCTATGCAATGTGCAGAGGGAGCTCTCGGCCCCTCGTTTGAGGGGCGAATGATTATGCCCCAGACTCCATTAACAGAGCCAAAGAGGACAGGAGGGGTTTTCTTGTGCCGCAGAGTGGAAAATTGAGTCTGTGTCACAAACTAATCAAATCAAAGGTGGATGGAAGAAGGGAACACACACGCACACAAACATACACAAGCAGGGCTGACAAATATCCAGGCCATCTCACAAAGTTGCTGACACACAGAAGATGTGGACTGAGCAGATGGCTGCAGAACAAAAGTCTGCAAGGGTCTCTGTGACAGTGTCTGTGTCAGGCTAACATTAGCATGGAACCCTGTGGGGAAATAAAAACACAACCCATTTGTAAAGTGTGTGCTGCAGAGGGACAGATTTGACCGCCGCACCCGTTGTGGTAAAACCAGGAAGACTTTGCTCGGATATTTGGTTGACTGGAAGGGTGCTGCTGATGACGGCTAAAAGATGAGTGGGATTTTCTTCCAGCAGGTTACACACGCTGTGGTGACATGCTATATGATGCTAGGAGACTGTTCACCTCTTCATGGAGTTATTGCTTTTAAATCCCAGGCTTTGATAATCACAGAGGTTATTAAATAATAAGGTAGAGGGGCTGGTGTGGATGGGGATCTGTGAAGGTAAAAGGGGCTTCCCAATGGCCAGCTCCACTCTGCCTGGACCTGCTCCTTTTTTCTCCAACTTTAGTCCAGTGTATTGTGGTATTAAGAGTTCCCAGGGGGTCAGTGTTGCAGGCAGCAGGTGGGGGGTAGCCCTAACAATCCTGTTCAGGTGTCCACTGGCGCCCAGTGCCCCATGTCCTCCACCCGTTGAGTCTTTGAGCGCTAGGAGGAGGAGGTTTTGGTTTTGGATTGAGGGTCCTTCTTGCCATTCTGCAGCACAGGTGAGTCACTGGAGGTCTTGGGTGTTTTCCTGGGTGGACTCTGCTCAGCGACGTCATGTAGAGAGGGCTCCCTGTACATGGCCACTGGGGAGGGAGAAGGTTGCAAAATGTTAAGACTGGGTAAAGACGAGAGACAATATAGGTGAATAGGGTTGGGTATCGTTTAAAATTTTACGATACCAGTACCAAAACCAGTACCCTTAAAGTGATACTGATACCAATAGAGTACGTCATTCAATACCTTGCATAAAGTGCCACCTGTTGAAGACATAGTAGTTGACTGGTAGCATATTATTATTTTTATTGTTGTTATGGACAAGCAAGGTGATCTATTCTATTTTTTTCTTGTTTTAAATAACTGTTAAATAATAGTATTGGGAAATTGTATCACATCCCCCTCATCCTAATTAGTTCATCCTCACAGGTATTATTTATGCAGTGAAAGACTACAGCTTGCAAATTTTTTAATATTTGAATGAGAGAGGAAATCATACACATAGTGACGTTAACAATGTGCTTATTTAAAATACAAGTTCAAATAGATGACACTGGATTACTCCCAAAATTTGATTTTAAAGCTGCACCAATTAATATCTTAATATGAATAACGGATCGAATGATTATGCGTAATGTAACCGCTCTTTTACAATGATGAAAGCAGTGTGCGAACTATACCATGGCTTTCAGGGGACCTCCCTTTTTTTTCACTCTCACCGAGGGCGAGGGCTGGCGGGTGGGCAGACTGATTCTCATCTCAGGGCGTCATATACCGACGATTTGAGAAAGAGTGACAAAGCGTAGTTATTTGACGGTAGCATCTGTGTGTTTCTATGGGACGCTACAGACCCGAAGTGCTAGTTAGCTAGCGCTGGCTAAATGTATGCATGTCGACCCGATAACCCTACCTGTTAGGGTAGGGTAGCAAACGGGGGCGTTTCATACGGACGCTGAAGGGTACCTTTAGCATAAAATCCTCACGCCTCACGCTGCCTGAAAGCGTCAATTATGACGCATTGAGATGAGAATGTGTTGCAATAGCTGCAAGCATGTAGGCCTGGGCTGTATGTGAACGTATCAGGCATGTTTTTCTTATTATTATAATAAGAAAAATGTAATTATTAATATTATTATCATATGTAGCCATTTTTATACAATTAGGCTTCACGCAACAGCTTTTTGCGACCTGACCTTTCTTTTCTCCGTGAGAGGGAAGAATTTTGAGAGCCCCCAGCTGCAGTAGGCCTACTGCATGGATCATGCCTAATATCCAGTGAACGATCACGAACCGTTTACAGCACGTCGGCCGTACTAGCGACACAACCCGTACCAGTAGTACCGACAGTAGGTCGGACCAGGGACAGGAGATCGAGGAGCGACTGGCCCGCTGCGGAGTCTGACGCTCCTGAATTTATGCATGGATCCATGATGATAGAGAAATATATATAAATTATTGGCAATAAAGCCTGCTGTCAATATTTTAGACTAAAAAGCATTTTTCTTTCAGACCATTATTTTGTTTTTTACAGCCCTCAACTTCACTTTTTCGGTACACTTTCTCAATCTCATCAACCTCAAATCCAGCAGCAGTAGCAGGAAAGCTGTTTGCAGAAAAAAATAAACTAACTGTACACTACCGGGTACAGTTAGACAAAGTTAACTACTGGCCCACAACCACAGTGGAGTATTTAATAGCTAAAGAGCCAGTTATTTTCCTTAGGAGGTGTGAGACAAAACCACAGTGACTATTGGACTTCAGGTGGACAGAAACATGACTCTACTGGATGTGCGAATAAGAAACTATTTGCTAACACTTAAAGCATATCAACTTTATTTGTCAGAGTTATGTTTACAGCTTATTCCACTGTCCCCAAGTGGCTAACAAAGCAGTTAATGCAGCTTTATTAACTACGCTCCAAACGTTTCCTGGTTAGTTAAAATAAACATTTGGGAGTGATATTATCCTTTTGCCATTTAATGCCCTAAACATTTGATGCCAAGTTGTACTTTCTTGGCAAAAAATCTTTTACATAGAGTAAGTGGTGTGTTTTACATTTCCAGCAAAGAACATCGCACTGGACACAGTGTAATGACAATGGCAATGACCACAAAGCATCTTACACTAACACTCACTGGTCCCTGCCTGTGGAACATCTTGTACAAGATATATTAATCTGTAGTACCTTCAATGAGTTTGGGCAGGAAGTGCGCAGCTCCCTTTGTCTTCTTGACTCGGTTCCCTTTCATGACCTGTCCATCTCGGTTGATACCGATGTACCACGCCCGGCCCGACTGGGTCTGTCTGTACAGGATGGACGAGTAGGTGACGTAGTAGTTTTCAAAAACACACTCCTTAAACTTACACTCCGGCGTGAAGTGTTCCTGAAAAAAAACACACACACACACACACAGACAGAAGCACACACATCAGGTCAGCGGAGAAGAATAACACATTTGGATTAGGATTTGGATCAGCCATTTTTTTATCTGTTCTGTTTTTTTATACATGTTTACTCTCCAATTCCACTGGCTCAGCTGGGAATGGGAGGAAATGGGCCCCACATTTCATTGTGACAGGGTTGCAGGAGCATTTGTGGCTGGATCAACAAACACACACACGCACGCACGCACACACATGCAGACAAACACGTGTACATGCCTATTCGCCACATGGACGAAGTGCTTCCAGAGCTGGAATATGCCATAACTCAACAGGGTCCGGTTTACCTGTAACAAACCACAATCAACCAGATCCTTCACCCCCTCCATAGCTTGACGACCCCACTGCCAGCCTTCAGCTCTCTCTCTCTCTCTCTCTCTCTCTCTCTCTCACACACACACACAGACATAGACACGAATAGTTCTGCATTATACAATACGTCAACATCGGAACACCCCCCACCCTCCTCAAATCCCTCTCCCTCTCGTTACTGCTCTCACATATTCCCTCCTTGGATCATATTCTGCCTCTCCTTCTCCACTTCATCCCCCCCATCCCTCCGTCATTTGGTAACCTTGTTGAGGAACAAACCAATTTGCAGGATTGATTTGGAGCCTTGATGTGACGGGTGAGCAGAAAAGGCCTGAATAAGGAGTTTGCTCTCTCTCTCTCTCTCTCTCTCTCTCTCTGTCTCTTCTTGTCTGCCACCGCAGGCGCAGGGCCTTAACGCCTGCCTATATCCATTGTACCGCACATAAACAAGCTAATTACATTGACTGTATCGCCCATTCTTTAATTACACATCCATTCACTTAGGCAGCCATTCATTCCCTCACCCACCCATTAACTTAGCTCTAATAGTACACAGCGGAATCCAAACGTCTGGAGTCTCTTGGAAGGTGTAATCAGATTGCTATCATTAACCGTGTTTGCACTGCAGTGTGTTGCATCTCATCTTGAAGCCTGCTTTGTACAGCCTGAAGTTCATTAATTGATTAATTACGTGAATTAAACTGAATCTGGCCAAATGAGTAATGTGTAGCGTGATGCATGTTTAAATGAGTGTGTTTACCAATCCATGACGAACCTTGTGCAAAGGAGGTCTTTTCGATTAGCCATTATCATCCTGGGCGCTAGCAAAGTCAGATTTTCCAATTAAAGACAAAAATTTGGGTGGCCTTTGACACTGTTTCCTACTAGAGTAGTTCATTTATGTTTGTGACCAATACAGGTACTCTACACACTTGAAAGTGTATTCTGATCTCCAGTATTTTTAGTCTACAGTGTTGACAGCAAATAAATAGAAAGAAAGCTTAAAACTTCTCCACACAGAGGTTGATCAGCTTTGATCATTACGTATACATTTGATACCTTACTTTCTGCCCTCCGAGTGATCATGCATAAGAAGACAGCTCACAATACAGTAGATTTCAAATTCATGGTTAAATATCATATGCTAGGAGGTAAAATATGGCCTCCAGCAGTGTTAATACTACTTTTCCCAGTAACTAGTAGTGTAATGGATTACTTTTTCAAAACAATATTGTTATTATAGTTACTAATCCAAGTAACTCTGCGTTACTGCGTTACTGAACGCACCATCCTTGACGTGAATGTGCGACTGCGCTGCAGGTCAGCGGCACTGGAGCTTATGTTGTTCAAGTCAGCTTTTAGCCAAGAAGCTAATGGAAGAATGGAGAACGAGGGAGAGAGACGTTATTTCCACAGCTCTCAGTATCTACTGGCATTATTCTGTCACAGCTGCAAAGAACATTGTTCCTTGTTGAACACAGAATTTCCCCTTGTAAAACACCTTTAATTAATATTTCATGCAATTTAACTCAATTTAACTGTAATGCTTAGCATGATACTACGCTGACCAAACCACCCAGCAGGAAAAACAAGACTTACAAGGAGCTTGAATGATTTCATGTGCGCACTCACCTGACAGGGGAAAGTGTATTTGCAATGGTCTAAATACTTCCAAAACCTTTTATCAATATACTTCTTACATCTGGCATTTGTAAATATTTGACAAACAAAGTAACTCCTACTGTATAGGACATGCCAACCATCATGTATCAAAATAAGTTCTAATTAAGTCTTTTCTACACTTTTGTCCTGGCCAGAAGCCAACCACATGTACTTAGTCACAGACACACACCCAGGGTGCCATCAGCAACACCGCTTTATAGGATAACAGACTATTAAGCAGTCATTTATAGAGACACATTATTCCCACAGCAGACACACAGGGGACAGATGCACATCTGTCTGCACAGTGATTACTCTGACTAGACTTCAGGCTGATTTCAGACCGATCACTTCCTCGCTTTCAAACATCTCTTCACCTAACAAAACACTGAAGCAGAGGCTCCACTAAATAAAAGCAGCAAAAGCGACCTGTCACCTGATTCCAATTACTGTCATTCCCCCTCATCTGAAAGACAAACCAGACTTTATAATGAGTGCTGCAGTTCCTGATGTGTTCAGCAGGGGCTGCTCCAAACATGCAGGCTGTCGGCGGCTTCTGTCACTTCCCCTGCTGCCGTTGATGCTCCAAAATTAACTCGCGTCTACTTGCCACTCCACAATGCTCAGCTCTACCCAAAGAGCCCCTTTGAGCACGCTAAAAACCACTCGAGTCATACAACAGCCACAAATCCACCCAAGGATTTCTTTCTGCGCTGCTTTTTATGCGCCAAACTCCATGCTGTTTTGTATATATTAAGTAGAATTAGCTGAAATGACCCATTATGTTGCATTTTAAGGGCCTATTAGCAGCTCTAAAAGTTGTTTTTAACTAACTTCAGAAAGAGATTAACTTTCATTTGGCCATGATGCATTTCTACAGCTTTTCAATGTAGGTGGAGACCACTCAGCAGGCTTACATCAAAGTATTTGCCAAAATAGATAAGAAAAATAAGAGAATATGAACAGAGACAGTAAAGAACTGACAGAGACACACCCCCTAATCAGATCAAGTCAGAGTCAATAGAAAGTATCTGAGACCAGACAGTACATTTACTAAAATCCTCTGTTCCACATAGATAGTGTGTACGACGAGGATTGCGTGTGTGTGTTTCTGCGTGTGTGTGTACATCCACTCATGCGTGTCTGCTGTTGTGACAGGGAGACATGACGGATCCCTCTTACATCAGTGGGAGGCCGCCCGGCGCCAGATGACATGCATACACACACACACTCACACACACGTTCACAACATCAACAGTGAAGGATGGACCGGTAGCCTCCCTCATCATTCACTCCCATAGACAGGAGAGAGAAAGAGAGGGACAGAGGGAGAGAGAGGGAGAGAGAGGGAGAGAGAGGGAGAGGGGACAAGATGAAACAAGAGAAGGAGGAGGGGAAATGAAGTGGGGGGGAAAGACGACAAAATAGATGAGGGTGGAGACACGGAGGATGTACAGTAGGATTATTCTCCAGTAATGATACACACACCCTTGCCTCATTTCCATAGGTTGACACTTAAAGACATTATTCAGCCCTGTTCGCAGGCACACCGCTGCTATTAACCATTGCGCTCATCTGGGGAATTGATTCTATGTAAGACCTCTGTGAAAAGTCAGTAGGCATTAGTCCAGAAAAAACCTGGATTAGGCTTTGATTGGACGCACGACGCGGCCGACGCAACCGAGCGTGAAGAACTTAAAACGATTTACAAGCTGCAATTGGGCACCCACAGGTTAATCCAGGGGCTTTAAGTCGCAGACACCATTCGACCACATCCAAGAGGACAAATGTATTTCACAGCGTCGATAGGGCACATGTATGAATGAGCCTGTGTGTGTGTGCTCACACGTGTGTTTGTCCTGTAGGCCTACATGACTCAAGAAATGCACGAGATGCGTTACTGCTGTCACACCTATAACAACTAACTGCTCGCTGGGAGGTTGGATGGCCTCGTTCAAGCAAAATAGGCTTTTGCAGGTCAGTGTCAGCGTGTGCAATTGATCGACTAGAGAGATATAAGCTTCAAATATGGCAGAGGTGGAAAGATGCCATTGTGCTGTAAGTCACAGCTAAGTCTCAAATCATTGAAGTCAACTCCCAAGTTAGGACAGGTAAGTCCAGGAGCAAGACCAACAAGTCCCAAATAAAACCCAAGTGCTTTGTGTTTTCGTGCCTTAAACAACCTTCTCCAAATGTAGTGCCGTTACTTTTTTTTCAAAGAGTAAATTTACAGAAATAATAGATTTTTCCTTTATTATTTTCAAATAAACTTTTAAATACAAAATGCATATTCCTTTGACACAAGTACAATCATTTGTCATCTCTGAGCTAAATAATTCACATGCAGTGGCCGAATGCCCCTAATTATATTACTTAAATGCATTACTGGGGTGCAAGTACTTGACTAAAATATTTCCATGTCATGCTACTTAACGCTTGTCTAATCCACATCATTTTAGAGGGGATATAGTTTACTTTTTAACGGCGCTTCATTCACTTGTTTGTCATGTTAAGGTCAACAGGTCCCGTTTGCTTCACAACTTCAAGTCAGTCCACTGACTGTCTGTCAGATCACATCTTCAGCCTCCCTGTCTCTCCCCCATCCCTCCTGTCTCTTCATTTCACAATCCAATAAAAAAGTAACTGCTGTTAAAATATCCTGCGGGAGGGAAGAAAAAAGTTTAAAGGGATGGCTCGGGTTATAAAAATATATGGGATTAATCATGTTTTCTTTCATCCAGAAAGCACTTGCCCCAGTGGCTTTTTCTTGTGGCACTGTAGCAGAAGCAGTTTGAGATTGAGATTGTGAAGAAATCAGCTTTATTGGCCACCAAAAGACATTTGTGTGATGCAATTATGTGTACATAATTTTCTATCATAACGGTACATTGAGAACGTCTGAAGATTGGATAAAAGTTAACATCAGTGCCATTTGATGTTATGCTACAGCTGTGTGTTATTTAGCGTT